AGCTCTGCTAGTGCGGGCTTAATAAGAGCAGAAAAATGCAGTTTTTCTGATCAAAAGTAACTCAAACCCCATTTGAATAATGAATATTATATGATTTACTTTTTATTGTACTTTCAGAAGTCTTGCTTTTCGGTTAAGACAAAGTAAAAGATGCTCCACTTCTCCACAAACTTTGTTTTCTCCTCTCTTATGCAACACTTTTGTCCTGTAGAACGCCCTCAATGCTTTTCCTCAATTATATTCCTCTCCTCTGCCTGAGTGTGTTTCCTGACTTTGGCTCTGACTAAAATAGCAACGCTTTTCAGACGGTTAACAGGCAGCTGTCAAACCTTGAAAAACAGAGCAGCGATGCCAAAGACGGTTCCCTAGAGGAAAAACACACTGCTCCATTTTTTTTTTTTTTTGTGATTCAAAAATCACAAAGGATGCCTGTTTCTCCCAGGAAAACATTGTAGGCGATGCCCACTTTTATTGCTACATACAGGAGCTGCCAGCAGTAAGATATCTGAAAGGAAGTACAGTGGTGTACTGCAAAATGGACAGAGGGGGGATTTTGTTTATTTTCATCTGAACTCAACACAGGATAGACAGAAGTTGTTTGTACAAACACGAAAAGGACATAATAGGAGGAAACAAATAAGTTAATTGTCTGACTACATAAAAATGAATGAATTATTCACATACATGCATGCACACCATGTACAGAGTCTGAGTCCCGGCTGAAGGGCTGGTTTCCATTCTAACCCCCTTCTTTTGCATAATTTCATTTCCTCCTCTTTCTCAGCTTCACCTTCACAGTTTTATAAAGTGAAAAAGGCCAAACAAGTTTGATTAAAAACTACACAACATCTGGAAAAGGGTGTTCTTGTAAAGCGGCTTACATACACAAAGTGATACTCAGAGTGCATTACAGTAAGAATCCTAAATGCACATGATGAAAGACCCAATGAACACGAAATCAAGGAACGAGTGCCACAATTACAAGTTAGAAAGTAATACCAGATTTCTGTCAAATGTAAAGAAATCATGTTGTTGTGTAAAATCAGATAAAAACATGAGGGTTTATTTTAAACAATCAAATAAATGCATGGAACGTTAAGTTCAAAGTTAAAGTAGAGTGAATGCTTAAATTATTGTTTTTAAGCGAGCTGGCTTCCTGGCATTTACAGAAAGTGTGTTCCAGAGATTTGGGTGCGATTATCAGACAAATAAAAAGTCAAGACTGATAGATTTTGTTCCTCCGATTATGCGTTTCACTCCAAGTGTGATTATATCCTTAATATGATTCAGTGAACTTTTTCTACTTCCAGGATGTGATGCATCCTGCCTCACCTGCTCCGGTCCCCACTCCGTCTCCTGCACCAGCTGCAGAGACGACCACAGGCTCGAGGGCCACAGCCATTGTGTGCCATTAGCCAACAAATGCTCAACTCACGAGTACGCAGACCAGCACGGGGACTGCCATCCGTGTCACAAATATTGCCACAGGTGCTCAGGTCCGGGCAAAACTCACTGCCTGAGCTGCACCCAGAGACATCTCCTGCTCAGTGAGTCGGGTTTGAAGGCCTCGTGATAATCTCCAAACTCTCCAAGCATCTGTGACTTGTTTGTTTGTTTGTGTGGTTGTGTGATCTCCATGTGTGTTTGTCGCTACAGATGGCACCTGTGTGGATGCGTGCCCCACCGGCTACTATGAGGACAAGCTGGGCCAGAAATGTGAACCTTGTCACGCTTCCTGTCAGACGTGTGTTGGGGAAAACAGCAACGAGTGCCTCGCCTGTAAAAGCCACCTATTCAGAGAGGGCAAAGAGTGTGTGGAGACCTGCCAGCACAGGTAGTTTACCCTGCTCACTGCCCAGCTGTGCTGCTCATCTATCACATTCAATGTGGTCACACAGTGTTGTCATTAATAAAAGATGGGCTCAGTCCCATAATGTCAGGGGTGGACACCAAACCATTGCTTTCCTTTAGTTAACTGGACAGGGGTGCAATTTGGAGATCAAGCTAATTTAGCCTGAGATTTAAATAGCCACGCATGCAGCCTGTAAAATGCTAATTAGACTAGATTTTATTAGGGGAAGCAGTGATTGTGAGAGTTAAATTAATGTCCTGTTAAATTGATGTGCAGTTAAATATTCAAAAAGGGACACAAAGAATTTTAATTGTTGGACCTGCAACCCTTAATATGCTTGTTTTTTTAGGCCTGCATCGAGTATTACTATAAAAAAAAAGAAGAAAATATCACTTTGACTTTAATATCCAGAGTCTATGTCATGTCCTCCCTCAGTAGAGCCTTCAAGTGTTTTGTTGTGGCTGTTTTCCCCGTGTCATTGTAGTTTGAGATGATTACAGCTGCTTGTGACTGAGTGGCAGCGGAGAAGAATTTCCTTTGAGGACAAACAAAGCTCTCATCTTCTTTAATTCAATCGTATCCATCATAACTTTCCCACCAGTCACTATGGAAACACGGACTCGGGGATATGTGAGAAGTGTGACCCGAGCTGTGGTGAGTGTATCGGAGGCGGGGAGGACAGCTGCCTGAGCTGCGCTCTGGGTCTCATCTACTTGCGGAAAGAAGGCCGCTGCCTCCCCTCGTGCCCTCTGGGATACTACCACGACGCCGTGCACAGGACCTGCGCGCACTGCCACACCAGCTGCAGAGCGTGTTCAGGTAGGAGCGTCCACTCAGCACTAATTTAATATTGTGGGAATACACACACACACACACCGTTGTAGGTGATGAGATATTGATGCTTCTGTTGTCTCAACGGACTGCAGATGTGAAAGCGCTGAACTGCTCGGACTCTGCTGTGTATCGGCTGCATTAATCTTATAGACTGAACAGTACAGGTTCATGCGGAATACTGCAGACCCAACAAAGGAGCTTTTATTTTACCATTCATGAATGAATAATGTGAACACTTTAACTTTTATTTAATCCAAAGTTTCATAACAAGTCTGTCAATATTTCTTAATCTTGCTAGTGTCAATAAATTATTTGATGTGAAATCAAGAACTCATGACGAAGAACATTCCTTTTATTTATTTTACGTCGCTAAGAACTTAAAGAACTTGGAAATGTAGATGTAAACACATTACCAAGGCAGAAATTTGTATTTGTTTGGGACCATTTTCAGTCCTGGATTAAGTTCCAGTTAATTTGTTCAGCTGCTGGAGTTATCAAATACATCCAAGTGCCAATGTTCAGTATAGTGTCGGAACATTTAAACACAATCAATATCCCACTTTGACAACACAGAAAACACTTTTCCTGACGCCTGATGGATGTGGGATACTTTTTGATGGATAATTAATTCTAGAGGGGAATCATTTACAAACCTCCTGAAGGTTGGACAGCATGGTGCATTTATGACCTGGAACAACAATTTTTTGGAATGTATGAACATTAATATATAGAGCAGGTGATTTCCAGACTTACCCTTTGAGTTGTCTTGTATCTGCAGGAAAAGATTCTCGATCCTGCGTCTCATGCTCCCCTGGATTTCTGCTCTCTGACGGCATGTGTGACTCCATGTGCGATGTAGGCCAGTATCCTGTTATAAAGGTAACCATGCAATATTTAAATTAAGTTTTAATTTCACAAATATTAACTTTTCATTAAAGAAAAAAAAAAAAACCTAAGCCTGTCCTTGCTCCACCAAAAATAATCATTAACTAATGTTTTGGCCCCGGGTGTCAAATAATGCAATTCAGGCTGACTTATTACTGCACCGCGAGAAATTTCAAACAGCAGAGTGAAAATTATGACTGTGTCATGATTCAAAATAAATCTCCTGGCTCATGCTGTGAGGCTACTGACTGAAAGTGTCTGGCAGGTAGATGCATATTAATTGGTTAAGCTGAAAGGCAGTGCATTAGTTATATTCAGCCCTTTTGGTAATGAAAGTTTTCTTTGAAGCTTTGATGTAGAATTCCTGCTGTAGCTGTGTGTCTGGCTGTGATGTCCTCTCTCCTACCCTCGTCAGGGTTCAGGCCACGCGTGTGAAGAGTGTGACGTATCCTGTCTGGAGTGTCGGGGTCCTGGTTCAGCCAACTGCACCATGTGTCCTCCTCAGGCCATCTTAGAAGCTGGAGGGCGCTGTCTGCTGTGTTGCCGCCATGAGGAAGAGGAGGAGGAGGAGGAGGCCTCGACGCAGCAGCAGGACTGTTGTAACTGCACTGAGACTCGAGGTAGGCTGTGGGTCGGTGCTGCTTATAGAGAGAATCAGAGGAAAATGTAGACTTCACATGACATGGTTTATAGTTTATGATAAATATTTAAGTTACTTTGTTGAAGTTGAAAATAATAATAATTAGAATAATTAGAAGAAAAATATCTATTTGTAAAGCCCTTTAAAAACAGTTTTATAAAGTTATTTGACTTGAAAGAATTCAAGCAGCAACCTCCGGTGTTGAAAATTGAAGCCGATATGGAAGGGCAAAATCCTGCAGTTTGTCGAGGGTCTGCTTGAGGCTGGCTGCGGAAGCACTCGAAGTCACACACACACCCATTACGAAAAGCCAGTTTTTACAGCAGAGATTAACATGTTTACAGCCTGGTTAAAGAAAACTAATTGGTGTGATTAGCTTATTGGGGGTACATTTAATAGCTCTTTCTTTTTGATCTTTTTGAGGTGTGTAGTTGACCTGATTGACAGGCGGGCATGCATGATGTAATTCTACAATTCACTTAGCAGACGCTTTTATCCAAAGCGACGTACATCAGAGAGTAAGTACAACACAAGCAAGGATCTAGAAAAAAGGGAACAATGTCAGTAAGAGCAAATGATCAGCTTTGAGTCCGATTGGACAAACAGGTGCTGACAGGAAGTGACCAGAGGCAAAGCACAACCTTGAGGGCAGTTCTTGAGAGCTCTAATCAGTATAGAAACCATCTTATAAGTCATCGTTATCAAACAAAAACAATCGTCACAACCATCATCATCATCAATGAAATCGAAACCATCATCATTAAGTTAGTAGGTATTCATGAAAGAGCTGGGTCTTTAACTTTTTCTTAAAGGTGCAAAGGGACTCTGCAGCTCTTTTAGGAAGGTAGAAGACGAGTCGTGCTGCTGCATTTTGTATCATGTGCAGAGGTTTGATAGTGCATGTAGGAAGACCTGCCAGTAGAGAGTTGCAATAGTCAATGCGTGACATCACAAGAGCCTGTACCAGGAGCTGTGTAGCGTGTTCTGACAGGTAAGGTCTGATCTTCCTGATGTTGTACAGGGCAAATCGACATGACCGGGCAATCGAGGCTACTTGAACCTTAAAAGTTAGCTGATCATCAATCATGACACCCAGGTTCAGGGCAGACTTTGTGGGCATGAGTTTGGTTGTTCCAAGCTGGATATTGATCTGTGGTTGCATAGAGGGACTGGCTGGGATGACAAGTGACATGTAATGATTTGTTAAGAAGCTTAAAACCAGCCTCAGGTCCAGCTCTTAGGTGGTTGTTGGGTTGACTGAAAGTTAGGGTGGGACAGCATTTTCAGCATGGCGACCGGCCGCCATTGATGGGACTCCACAGCCCCCTGCAGTAGTGTGCAGTAACGTGACGTCACTCAGGCTTTGACCATTAATATTTACAGTCTACAGAAAAATCACAAAACTCAGTAGGAAGCAAAAGAACCCAAACATGGCCAGACACAGCAAGGCAATACGAGGTACAGTTAATATAAATGTAGACCAGAAGAACAAAATATGTCAAAACAAAAAGTGAAGCAGAGAGAAAACAGAGGAAAAAAAGGGGGTTAAGCATTAATAAGCAAACTAAGACAGGAAGTGAAGCAAGAAGAAATAGAAGCAATAAAAAGACACAAAATAAATAAGAAGATATAAAATGAACCAAATAAATAAGAGAGAAAGGATATAAAAGTTTTTTGAAAAAGAAATAGAAGAACTGAAAGCAAAATAATTATATAAAATAAAGTGAAGAGTTCAAAAGAGTCTATAAAAGAAGTCATTTTTAAAGATGTCTCCGATGGCACAAAACAAACAAACAAAAAGATCAGTCACTTTGACATTTCTGTGCTGATGGTTTAGTCATTTTATACTGAGATTCTTGTCTGAAGTGTTTTCTCTAGAGCCCGACCGATTAATCGGCCTATCGATAATATAGGCCGATAGCAGCATATCCAGTGACTATCAATATCGGTTAACTTTATCTCAGATACGAGCCGATTTTACAGGATTTATTCACCAGTCAAATAGCATTTCATTTGAGTTTCAGCGCATTACACTAGCAATTCTCTTTCACCAGCAGAGGTCGCTATATTGATACAACAGTGTGTCAAGTGGTGATGCACGTACATGCGTAGTTACTTTCCAGTTGAGTGACCATCTTGTCTTCATTATACATGTTTTCCACAAGTTTTTGATAGCTGCATTGGGGGGATCAACACGACATTTATCTCCATAGAAAGAGCTAAGAAATATATCGGCCAATATATCGGTATGTTTTTTTTTCTCTCCTTAATATTGATATCTGTAATTTTCTCTGCACTCTTCTCACTGGTTTGAAATGAGTGTAATAAAAAGTTTACAGTTGGTGAATTGAAGGCAACTGTTAATCAGAGCTGACCCACACAGTCCCGATGAAGCAGATGACGTTTGAACACTTGTTAAATAATTTCCTACATTTCATATTTTAACTGTTGCTTATTAAGTTGTGAATGTTTAATATTTTAGAGATTAACTCTCAGATGCTTTAAAGCAAGTTGAGCGTTCTTAAGAGATCTGACACTGTAGGATTCATAATGTGTGAGCGCATCTTTAGTAAAGTGAACGGCGTTCTTATCAGTTATTGGCTCGGGATTTTGGTCTTTTGAGAAGAATTTAGTAGTTTAGATAATTTAGATAATTTTTTAAACAAAATATTCCTCTGAACTAAAAAACAGCACCAACAACCTGCATTAAGATAATAAGAGCCTTAGCCTGGGAGGCGAAACCCAGGGGGATAAAACAAAGGCTGGAAATGACTTTCTGATGCTTGTTAAGCTTATTACTGAGAGTGCATTGTAATGAGTGAAGGTGACTCTGTTTGGCATGTTTGTATTTTATCAGCTCCTTTCTTCTCTGATCTGGACTTTAGAAAACAAAGTTCAGAAAGAATTAAGTGAATAACTGAAACTAAAACTCTGAAAGTTGTTGGGACTAATTCATGTTTTTGAAAAGTTACAGGGTCATGTTTATGTATCCTCCCAGAAAACAGGATGAAAAGATCAAATATGACTACATTCAATTTATCTTTCCACTTCCTGTCCGTGTGGGATTTCCAGGCGAGTGTGTCCTCAGCACCAACCTGGCCTTCAGAAACGAGGAGGAAGAGGAGGCTCGAGGTAACCTGGCCCTTTTCATCATCGCCTGCATCCTGTTGGTGCTTGGACTAGTAGCCGTAGTGTTCCTCATCAGACACTCCCGCTCCAAGAGAGCACCCCCGGACATCACTCCCCGCGGCTACGAGAAGCTGGGCTCCGGCGGGGGTTACGGAGGCAGCAGACATGGCGGCTACAGCTCTTCCTCCTCTACGTCTCACAGCAACCGTGGCGCCAGCTCCTCCTCCTCCGGAGGCCGCTTCCAAGAGTCTCAGCTGGTTGACATCAGCGAGCGTCGCTCAGGGGCTAAGGAGGATGACGACGATGACGAGGACGAGGACATTGTTTACATGGGTCAGGATGGCACTGTGTACAGAAAGTTCCGGTACGGACAGCTGGGAGAGGACAACGAGGATGAGTTGGAGTACGATGACGAGAGCTACACGTTCCGATGAAGATTAAGAAAACCTTTATCCTTCCTCTTTCCTCTGTGCTCTTCATCTCCTCCTACCCAGGGGGGGCAGACCCATTTATCCTCCTCTGAATATGAGTTGAAACGAGACATGAGAAGCTATTTATAAAGCGCGGCATTCTACAACTGCTATCCATTCACAAAATGAAAAGTACAGCTAAAAAAGTCAACGTGAAACACTCTCAAGGGCTTTTTTTATATAATGAAGCTTCAGTTCTAGTCTTGTTTTTAAGTATGTTGACTCCCTGCATATATCTTTATATTAAATAACTTGAATTAGTATTACCTAGTTTTGAAAATGTCATGAATCATACTATCCATCTTTTTAATTGTTGTGTCAGATTTGCATTGTAAACTTAATGAAACGTTGTATTTCTTTTGCTTTCCTACATCCCCATGTTTTCTCCTGACTTTGACTTTTCATTTCAAAAGGTGTTCTGTTCAAATAAAGTCTCAAAAAGAAAGCATTGGAAGAGTGACTCATGATTTCCAATTTAGCAGCAGAGCAATCACAATGAAACTGGCTCATCTGACATGATTGAAATGACTGAAGAAAACAAAACTCAGACTTCAGTCCATGTTTATTAAATTACTAGACAGTGATCCATCATTTCTCTGAACATCCTTTATACACCAAAGAGGACTCGAGTGTGAGAGGACAGTCCGTTATCTATGAGAGGACATGCACTGATGCACAAATGCACACATGCGTGTAGAGACGCTCACTCTCACACACACACACACACACTGAAGATATTGTGCTTTACAGATATCCCTTTTTGATGTTCTTCTGAGGTTTCATCTTGATGATCCAAGAGAAGCTGAGGATTATGCTCATGTATTTGACGGACTGTAAACACACACACACAGCTTTAAAGACATGCTCTCAGATTGCACTTAAACGTTGATTTTTAACCTGTTCCTTCTCGGTTTCATAGACTCTATAAAGTGAAACATTTCTATTTCTAGGTTTATTTCTCAGTTTTAGAACAAGTACTCACTAAGACAGAGGTTGTGATTGCCTAACTGCAATACTTGGTCATTTATGGCACAAGGTTTTTCTTTGTCTTTTTGGCAAAAACCTTGTGCTTTTATTGTAAGTTGGTGACACACAGGTTACTTATTTATCTGAAATACTGAGAGCGTGTGACCAGTAAAGGATGATATTATTGCTTCGCTGCTTCTCATGCACACAACTACAAACACTATCGACTCTACAAATGGATTTTGCGCAGTGCACTGTCTGGTGTGTAATTGCATTTCCTACCCTACCGTGAACGGTGATGCTACCCTGGACGTGCTGCCAAGCATCACACTCAACTTTATAGTTCTCTGGATTGTAAGTTTAAGGTAAAGATGCTACAGCAGCCGTAAAGAATGAGATCTACCTCTGAGTGTAAGATTGTAAGTTTCATATTTAAATCCAGTGACTTATTGGCATCCCCTGAAACACACACACATACACACACACAAACATACACACACACTACAGCTGAACAGGCCTTCCCAGTTTCACCCGTAAAATACAACAGTGACTTCTGAACATTGAGGTGACCCATCCATTTTGGAGTCTTGGGTTTAAGTGCTGCTGGCACCGGCTGCGTTTTGCCTGCTGCGAAGACCAAAAAGAACAAAATAGAGACATTAAAGTTGGGTATGTTTATGTATGGGTGACAAGACTGCTGACACCGGGCCATTACTCTTCTGTGTGTGAATTTAAACGTCTGCGAGGACTTACTCTGTTCTGCCTGCTGCGGCGGCTGCTGCTGCTGCTGCTGCTGCCGCTGGCTCTGGTCCCAGCAGAAAACTATTCATTCTTGAATGAAAGAAGACAATGAGGGGCAGAGTAGAATGTATAGCTGTTATGACGAGATATTTTGTGAATTTAAAGACATATAACTTGTGATTCAAAGCACAACTGACAATCACACAGCTGCTGTCTTCTGACTTTTTCGCTGCAGGCACTCAATCAATAGTAAAAATGTGGAAGAATATTAGAACAAATTAAAAGTAAAACAACTTATTTCATCACCCGTTATCAATCATCAGATAAATGCTAATGTTTGCAGTCAGTCACTTTTCTAAATTGTAGGAAGCAAGGAAGTGGCTGAATGCTATTGTAACCTTTCAAAACTAAACTGTTGTAAGATAGGAAAAGAAAAGTGCAAATAAACGTTCCTTTATTTAAACAACATAAAGGTCTACCCATTAGCTACCATCAAACAACAGCTAAAGTTAGCTTTTTATTACTACATAGATGTGCCTAAACATGCACAGGACACTTGGAAAACAACATATAAAACCAGAAAAAGCATAATATGGGACCTTTAAGATTTTCACAATTCATTGTCTAACCGGTTGCTTATCCATCAAGAAATATCTTCTGCATTTCTACCACTTATAACTTCACACAAGTCGGCTTTGGTCTGTGTCTGAATCAAAGGAAAATGGCCGCTGTGTGAATGACGAATTAGTCAGCAAGAGATTATAATGGATTCTACAGTTCGTGCATTTATTATCAGTGTAATCGATCACTGTGAAATAAGTACGGGCTCATCTATTTTACAGTAATGATTAATGAGATAAAACAATGCATTTAGCATCTTTAGCAACTTTTTTTCCCAGGCTCCTTTAATTGCAGCCTTAGTCAGATCCAATTGGTCCTCTTCCAACAGAAGAGTCCCTGTGATGTGAAAGTGAGCCATCTGATAAATGAGCGCTCCAGCCAAGGATAAAACTGAGACAGGGGCCACTGGCTCTGCAGAGCGAAGTAAAGAGAGGCAGGAGAGTCGGTACTTACTTTGAGTTCTCTGCAGCTTCCTTCAGCTCCTTGTCAAGTCTAAAGGTGAGAGTTCAAATGACAAGATGAAGATGTAAAGAGATAGTTCATGCTCAGTGGAGGTTGGGGGTGGTGCATTTTTTAGGGGGCTGGAGGGACTCACCTAATGATACACTCTGGGATCTGGATGCTATCCATGGGGATGAGTTCCTGCAGCTCATCCAGACTGGTCACATACTTTATTTTACTGCTGAACTTGGCGCTGTGACAAGAGCAACATGGACACACACACATAAAATCAAGCACCAGTGCAATGACAGGCACATAAAGAAGATGGTGGGCAGTAACTGGCTTGGCATCCGAGAAACAAAATTATAGTCTGTTTTCTAAAAAAGGATTTAACAGCCATGCTAGCATCTCCGTGAGGCTGAACTTCATTACAGAAGTGCAGTAAGCTTAATGCTAACACAGCATACTAGAATTGTCCCAAAGCAAAAGAGAAATGTCCTGAAGTTCAGAAGTATAATGTTTTCTGTGTTTAGCATTTAGTCATTTGAACCAAACATGGCTTAAACTTTCCAGAATAGAATAGTGTGCAGAAATGAAAATTGCGCTGTTGGACAACAAAAGTTATAAAACCCAATGATAACCAAAATATTTTTTAAGTTATTCTGTTGTTTCTTTACCTGATGAATGGCTTGGTAATAGCTAGAACGGTCCTGATAAACCACGACGGATGGAGAATAATGAAGGATTTCAAATTCTTCCGGAGCCTGGAGACAACAAAATATGTCAAATGTTAGGTGTGAGTGTGTCCTTGTCCTATCTTATGTCTACTTTCCATTCAGGGGAGATAATGTTTTTTTATTAAGATGCTACTCAATATGAACTGATTAAGAGGAAAAATACCTTCTGTCAATCATCTGATAGCATTTCTTCAGCCAGCCAAGGCCGGGCATTCTTCTGTGAGGTGTGGCTCCATTTAAGTACACGATCATGTAGTCCTCGGCCACCATCAGCTCCAGTGTGCTGATCACATATCTGAAGACAAACGCACAAAAACATGCATCAATACACAAAAGTTGAATATTAGGAACTTGCCGAACTTTTCCCTAATTAAGCATTACAGTACATTATGCGTATCCCTTCAACTTGTTCTTAAAGAAAATGTAACAATATAAACAGTCTTCAGCCATGCAGCATTTCACTGTTAATATGTAATATGTTCAAATGTGAAGTTTACAGATTTGAATTTTAACTAAAGTTGCAGTCAGGATCTTAAATGTGTGTCACAAAATGAAAAACCTAGTCGATAATTGTTCAGACATTTCACTTCAAAATCCCAAATGATACTCTAATAGTGACGCTTAAACAAAACTAAGATATCTCTGAAGTCAATAGTATTCATTTGCATCTGGGGAGTATCAATTTCTGTACAATTCATCCCATAGTTGTTTAAACATTTCATGAGGACAAAAGTGGAGAGAACTAACCACAAGAAAAGATAAAGATAAAGATACACCACTATCATAGCTTAAAGTTTTTAATGCATTTTTAATTGATCATGTGTTCAAATTTCTGGACACAATATGTCATACCAAATGTTAAATGGTAAATAGACTTGAGTTTGTATGGCGCTTTTCTAGTCTTTTTTTACACTGCATGTCACACCTACCCATTCACACGCAGAGGTTGCTATGTAAAGTGACCTTTAGAGGTCATTTAGCCCGATCATACACATTCATACGCTGCTGACAAAGCTGCAAAGGAGCAATTCAGCTGGGGATCAAACCCCAACCATCCAGTTGAGAGACAACAACTGGCTGCTTTAAAGATACAATTGGAGAATATCTTGACATTTGTTTCATTGTATTTCAAATAGTAAGCTATAAACCAAATAAGAACTACCACTTCTTTCACTCTTAAGTGGACAGTAAAAGGCCTCTTGTGTCAGCGCACTGATCTACTAAATTCTAGATGTCAATAGAAAAAAAAACAGAAAAGCCCTCTGGTTCCAAAATGGTGAAATGTGGAAGTAAGAATTGCAGAGCCATGTTTCTTTACTCTGACAGCCAACACCAGGTGAAACTTATCTATGTATGCTGTGTTGTTCTTTATTTAAAATTCTTGCAGTATTTTTTTAAAATTCACTCATTTGATGTTAGCGACAAGAAATCGGTAAGAATGTTGCTTCATGGAAAAACTTTTTTGCTTTGATTGTCTTTTATTCCCCCTGTCTGTGTATTCACCTCAGCAGCTCAATCAAAACACTTCTATTCTGAAATCCAATACTTTGAATTACACCAGAAAAAGGTATCCTTTTTTCTTTTCTCTTCACAAAACCCCAAATTCTCTTCGTCTTCTCACACAGCAGGGAACTTCGTTGCCATGCTTTGAAAATAAAGATGAATATCCTCGTCTTACAAAGTCCTACTGGTTTTCCTCAATAACTCCTCTAACTTCAATGACTTTGAGCTCAGTCTGAGTCTCCTTTTCTCCTGAGTCAATGTCATTCTCAAGAAATCAACAATGAAGATCCACTCAGTTTCGTGACTGTGGTGATCTTCTCCCACTAACATCAAGCATACATGTCGTCAAGCACCGGCACAAGTTAACTCCTTTTCACAAGGATTCAGACCTAAAGCCATTTGGCATCAGAAACTGCAGACACCATGGCTTACCTCCTTTCATTTCTATCCAAAACTCTCAGATATGCCAGCTTACCCAATATCTTTCACAGAACAGCCTGTGGGATGTCCAAGCATGAAATGTGACTGTGCCAGCACAACAATGAAGATATCTACATAATAGATCTCATAAACAGACGAGACTATCACGTCTATCACATAAAACTCAGAGTTTTCCATGCGTCAAGGGGCCACAGCCGGTTTAAAGCATTTTGCAATATCTTAATATGTTAATAAAAAATCACCATTTGAGTGAGATCACTTTATTTACATTGGCTTTTTTGTTTGAAATCAATTGGTGTACTATATGTATCATGCTAACATTGAAGTGGATAATTAGCAGCTGAGTTCACCATATTACTACTGCTCTTCCCAAGCTTCTTGCTCACTACATGTTAACTGAGGCTGACTGGAATTTTCCAGTTGTTTGAATAGAAGACTCCCATTAAGACTTAAATAAAAGCCAAGTCTAATCATGGATTCTTTCTCATGGCTCATGTTTTGAAATTTATCCCCCAAATTTTCTTTTTGGAAATACTTGATAAACCAGTAACATTGATGTAATTGCTAATTTGCCATTTTAAGCAAGAAATCCCACTAAATTTAAATTGTGAACATTGAACGTTATAATTGTAAGCAACCTTTGTAAAGAGCTTCACAGAGCTGCCAGCTCGGCTTCAAACTCAGTCTTGTTTGGGACATGGATGATGTGGAGTCATTCCAACATAGATACTAATAGGGCCATAAGATATTCATTTCCTGTTACTAGTGGTGCTAAAAAAGAAAGAAAACATAATTCATGAGCAATGACTGTAGCTCTTCTTGGATAACAAAGTTGCAGTTTCATGAGTGAATGAATTCCTGACTTAAAGCTAAGGAAACATAATGACTGAAATAGTAGAAGATTTATTTCAAAGGTTGTAAGTCATTGCATTGTAATACTTACAGGAAGAGATTCTCCATTATTTCATGGTATTCCTCTCTGTCACTGTCTGGCAGGAAACAGGCAGCAAACACTATGATGGCATTCACTCCATTACTATAGTAGCCTTTATAAAAACACAGAACAAAATAATTAACAAGAGTTCACTTTACCTTGATTCATGGCCTTTATTAGCATAGCTTTCATGACTTGATTGCTCTTATTTTTCTCCCTTTTGTTCGTTTCATCAGCCAATCTGGGTGTCTATTGTCCATCTGTCTCTCTCTACTCTGTTTCCTCAAACTAGTATTCAGAGTAATGTAATTTGCTTTTATTCACCAACCCATTCATTACCAGATTTGGTGACACTCAGATAGAGGGTCTTTTATCTAAATGATGAAGCTGGTGATATTGGCTTTTTAGTGACAGACATCTCTGTTTCCATGGGACAGCTAGGTTTCACTTTAGCCAAAAGCTGATGGGAAGAAAATATTCTGCCTGCACTATGAAGGGCTCCATTTTTAGCCCATAATGGTTATATGGAAGGATCAGCCCATGCCTTTAAGGCTTAGAAGGGCTTCACAAAGGGAGACTTTAGGGTTAGACATCAACCCAACACTGATTAATCTGAGAGTTTATTATATCCATTGGGCTTTAGCACAGTTTTGTGGTAAATTTTCACTTTATTTCTTAAATTCAGAAGTGTAAGGTTAAGTTCTTGGGATAAGGAACTTCACTTGTTACCATAAAGATTATTTTCAAACTCAAGCCCTTTGATGAAACTGCAAGAAAGCAGCTGCATCCATTTCTTTACTACTAAATCCACACATTATACTACTGTTAATATTCATCGAGCAATGTTTTAGAAAGCACATCCACTTTCATGAAACATACAGGGATAAGAAGACTTTAAAAACTCCACTGTGTTTCGTTTGTGAGAGTTCACTCTCTGACAGCCTGTGGATGATGTAAAACCCATCTGCTGGTTTCATCTACCATCTTTATTTCCTCATTTTTTGTTGTCTGTCCTCCAAGGTAAAAGGAGGCATTTGGAAAATGAGACTTCCTTCTGAGGCCTCGTTAGCTGCATAGCAAGCTCAAAAACAAAAGGTGATTGTGATATAGTACACCAGGAATAATGACTTTGAGGTCATTTGAGTTTTTTAGACGCAGCTTTTGTAAACACAGGTAATATTCAAGATAGTCACCTCCATGGGAGATGACTCTCATGTAGGGCTCAATGATCTTCATGTTGATGCGGTGCTCCTGCTCCCCAATGACGACTGTCCTCCAAAGTTTGCCATCCTGACGCTCCTCTTCAGCGCTGTATGTTGGGATCGGATCATAAGGCTCACTTATTCCACTCCTTTTGGCTTTGTTGGGGTCTGATATGAAGAAAAAAACAATACTGTCAAAAACTGTCAACCCTTTTTACATAACACATATTTAGACTTGACACAGAAGGGAAGCGTTGTCCAATTCGGGTGTCGCAGTAGGCCTTGACCTTGTACAATAAGTTATATACACAATGCCAGTACACTGAAGGGAAGCGGCTGAATGGAATTGGATGATCTTTGTACCTTTCCTCCTGGCAAATGGAAAAAATGTCCTTAAGTATCATGATGATTTGGGATACACTCAATGACCCACCTTCCCAGTCCATTTCATGGTCCGTGTAGTCCAGGTAATCCCCTTCATCTGGCGTGTCGAGGTCATCCACGTTAATGTCGAGATCATCTGGCGTTTCCCCCAAGTCATCCTCGCTTTGGTCCAGTGACAGGCTGATACAAGGAGCTGATAGCTTTTTCCTTTGACCGGCACCTCCTTGTAGGGGTAGAGAGGTAGGAGGGACTGAAAGAAAAAAAAAAAGAAAAAACATAAATTCTTTCTTTGAATAGCTGTTGATGTCTCTGAATCTGAGCTTTGGTTGACCCACTCTCACCTGGTCTGCCTTCGCCCCCCTCAGAGTTCATTTTGCTCTCTGATGCCAGGTCCATCCCCTGGAGGACCTGTGAGGAGATAATTACAGTTTTTAAATGGGCTCTTATTTAAATACAAGAAACTCCAATAATATCCTTCATTATACACAGGGGCGATTCTAGGGTCTGTTGGGGCCCTCGGCAAAGGTTCACTGGGGGCCCCTTCCAATTAATTTCCCTCCTCCGTTTTCCAACCCCAGATGGATAACTCCTCTTAATTTTCCTTCATCGACAAATTTTGGTTTTCACAGGAATCATGCTGCGACGCTTTGCAAGACAGCACTCCCCACTGTCGTTGCTAAATTTGTACAATTTGAGGCAATGCTTTGGTTTCTAAGTTTGTCAGCCGTTGGGGGCCCCGCTCTACTGGCCTGGGGCCCCAAGCAGTTGCCTGCCTTGCCTGTTGACAAGCAGCGCCTCTGATATACACAGTCTGTAAATCCAGAAGACCAGTTATATGACAGACATTTCAATGCATGCCAAACTTTGAAACTGTTCTCCAGCACAATTCAAAAGTGCTGTACTGTTTTGTTCCAACTCAACAGTGTATACATTTGTTCCAAGTCTATAATGTTATAAAGACCACAGGCTTGACCTGCTCTATATGAATAGTTCCCTGAGAAAACATCTGTAATTATATTGCACTTAATACATACTGTTGACTTGATTTAAAATTAGCTCCATCTGGCGCCAGCCTATCTCTCCTTTATGGAGCATATAGGCTGTTGACCACAGGCCACCAGTAATCATCCAATAACACTCAGTCAAAGCCCTTGTTGGTGAGGACCAGGTAAAGACGTATGCTGGGTTTGTATGGTGAGTGTTGTCCAGTTGATGTCGGTAATAATCTCACTGAAGCAGTTTCCAGTCTTGAATTTGCCTCCTTTATTTCCAGGTGACTTGAAATACAGCCGACAGGTTATAGTGTTCATTCTCATGGACGCACCCAGTACAGCACTCAAATCACAACTGGTGATTCAGGCAGAGCAGGTAATAATGAGCAGTTAACTCGTTTCACTGCTTAAACCTGACTACATGAGGTGAGCTGAACTGCACACGGACGACAGGGCGGGGCTGTGACGTCATCACACGTCACAGAGCGCCTTCCGTACAGCTTCTTTTTTTTTCCATTTTGAGATGAATCACTTTTGATGTTGCACTAACATATTTTATTTTTTAAAATATTGACATACTGTTCACTGAAGTGACAGTTTCAGAGCATGATAACAACATGTAATTGTTTTTTTTAATTGCAGTTTTCCAGCTGTAACTTGAGACAACGATCTAATAACTTCCTCCAGTAATGAAAACTACAAATTAGAGCAAGAACAACAAATTGGTATTGCTGATATAGTGGCATCATTGACCAATTTGTCCTCTTGTCTGTGCTCTTCTGTGGCAACAATGTTGTCTTGAACGGCATCGGGAACTAATTTATGCCTTCAAGCAGATTAATTGTTTGTAGGTGTGGTTGCTTTCTGTAGTGTTTTATTGTTTGAAATGTAGGAGGGTTTTCTGGTAAATAAGAAGCAGTGTGAGCTGACTTCAGGAGGGAACCAATCATTAGCAGAATGTGTTCTCTCTGTGATCACGTATAAAAGGTTCCTGAATCATATCACATCGTGTTCGCATTTCTTTTGAGAACTAGCAGTTCTCCTATTTTTAGAAGAAATTTCCCTCACACCACTTTTTAACCTGAACCCTTTCATTCTAATGTGACAAGGTCATTCAAATATTGGATTGGAAGAAAAAAAAAAGTTCCCACTCTGTTATGTTTGTGAAGAGTTCCTCACTGGATAATGAAATACTCATCAGCTGGCTTCTCCTCTCTAGAGCCTGTATTTCCTCATTGTTCTGGTTTGCCCCGCCTCTAAGGTAAGATGAGGTTACGCCTAAATAAGACATGTGTATGTGGGCACATAAATTACAAGACATATCTGTCAAGAAATTCCAAAGTATGATTCAAGTCATTTCAATACAGTGCCAACATTGTGTATATGTTTGTACAGCTGAGAGCACTGAGGAGTTCATTTAACTTTATAACGTCCAACTTAGTATGAATGTAGGTCATAGTTTTTCAAACCTCTGTATTCAGCTGACATATCTGATCAGCTGTTTTTTTTTTTACATTTCATGATTATTCCAGCATGGGCCTTAAAAAATCCAGTATTGGATGAACTTTACCAGCAAAACCACAAAGCTGTGTCCACACCAGAATGTGTTAAGACAATGTATATTGATTTCAATTGATAAGTACATCCACTGTATCTATTTTGAGATGGAGTAATCGAAGAACACAGGGAGTGAAGACAAAAAGGGATAAGGTGGGGAAAGGAGGAGAAGGGAAGAGAGAAATTAGAAAGATTTGGAGGTTAAAGGTCGTCTTTCTCTGTGAGTAATCCTTCCATTCAAACTGGAGGAAGGGGGGGAAGGTGATGCTGAGGGGTGGCAGAGAGAGGGGGGGGGGGAGAGAGGAAGGGAGGGGGGGGGGGGAGTGCTTGTTACATCATGACAAGCTCCCCCTCCCCAGCGTCCTTCTTTTCTAGTGCTGATTCAAAGCGAATGAGTGCACGCTTGCCTGAGCACAGATTGGGGCAGAGATGCAAATCACAGTGAGTCACGTGTGCTCACTCGCATGAAAAAGGAAGCAGTCCTCGTCCACGTTGCCCTCTTTGCCTAGAACGAGGAAGATGTGGCACAACAACAAAAAAAGAAAGATGATTCCTGTACAGTGGGGATGACTGTCATGATAAGAATACACAGAAATATGAACAGTATGTGCCCACACACACACACACACACACACACTTACAAATCCACTCAAATGAAAGAACATGGAATGAAACATGTTCCTACATTGCAGAAACACAGAATGAGCATCAGCTGTTTTTTTTTTGCATTCTCCATCAACATCCACAAGCCAGTGCTGATGACAGCAACCCCTCCCTCTCCCTCGCTTCCTGTCTGCTGGCTGTGAGGGGGAAAAAACAAAACAAGAACATATCCCTCTCTTACATTTCTTTTAATCTCCACAGAATAAAAAAAAAAAGCATCGACCTACTCACCGCACTGCTGGAGCTTGGGATTCTCTGTGCTGGTTTACGTCTCAGATCATGGATGTACTTCCAGGATCCCTGCCTATTTCCTGCTTCCAGCCCTCTCGATGGAGATGCTCAGCTTACAAACAGCTCACAGCTTCCACCATTTTGTGGTCACATGATCAGGGCTGTTACCAAATAAGGGCGATCACCTGCTATAACAGCTCTGTGCACGGCAGCTGAATAAAGCTATAGGGGGGGGTGCGTTTGTGTGATATTATTATTACTCTCACCTAGAGGGGATAAGCACGGCATGTATTTGTAGGTGGTGTTGTGTTATTACTACCAGCAAGGAGTGTGGGACTGCTATTAATGCCTGACAGTAGATTTGTGAGCCTAGCTGTGCAGCTACATGATTTCTTTGTAGCCCTCAGGGTAAAAAACAGCAATAAATGAGAACATTATCAGCTACATGTGCTGATAATATTCACTGGTTTACCACCTGCTGGTAATAAAATGATAACTGATCCAAAGCAAATATCTGAAGCTTACTATGCCACTAAAGCAACTTCAAATGTATCCTAAAAATTCTGCATTGTAGCTGAACTTTTTAACCCTTATACAAGCAAACTACAGCCGCAAAGCAGATAAATCAACAGTATCTAGACTGTGTCTCCTTCCGTGTGGAAACAGGCACTGTTTGCCCCACAGGTTTAACCTCCCTGGATGCCTCTTTTCACTTACCCCTTGTTTAGTCCCCACAGTTACACAGACAGACTGAGACCAGCCTGACAGACCTTTGCACATTATTTGACCACAGTTTGGTACAAAGTTGCCAATAAGTGTGACCACGCCTGCAAAACAGTCTTTGGTTAATCAGTGCCATGCAGCCGTGTCCTTAACCATGAGACGAATCTCGCATTCCCGTACAGAAACTGACATTTCTTTTTATGAAAATACTTAATACAATAATTTTTTCGTATGTGACAAAGTCAAGGAAAAGCTCAGAATCCACTTTGTTTGAAAACATATATAAACACATATATAGTGGTTTTTATTTCTACATTTAAAATATGTGAAAATATAACATTTCATAGACTCCATGGTTGCTCTTGCCCTACAAAAAAATATTACCATAAATATGAACTAAGGCACAGTTGTTCCGTCTTCCAGAGATGTAAGGTGAGGTGGATTTCATTGTTATCTGATGAGGACTTTGTCAAACCAGTTTGATCCATGAACTGATCGTCTGCAA